GGCTGCATTCTGGACTAGCTGTAGTCTCCGAACGCTTTTCAAGGGTAGCCCCATGTAGAGCGCATTGAGTGATTGATGGCTTTGATCACTAACATTTCTCTCTTCCCCCAACAGTCTGGGTCGCCATTGGAAGGTGCACTCCAAAATCTGATTGTGAGCAATATGAACGTCTGACAGGGAAGCCTTTCTCTGGTGACATAATCAATGTTCCGGGGAACTCCATCATTAAAGGGGTTGAGTGCAGCAGAGCCCCTCCTTCCTTTGCATCCTTCGTCCCAGCCTTCCTTGGGCTCCTCCTGATGAAGCTTCTTTGCTAGAGCTCTTCCTCCCACCCAAGAAATTGTCCCCTTTTTCTCAGCCTGTATGTCCTCTCCAGCTGATCAGGTGGGACTTTTGATGGTATGCATGGGTCTCTAAATTTTCCCAGATGCAAAACTGTTGAGCAGGCAGAAACATAATCAACAGCCTTTTTTTTTGTGTATGTTGCAAGTTTTTAATTTTATTTTACATATACTTATCAATGTGTGAACAGTGTGGCACCTGGGTGTCATACATTCTAATAACAAATAGTAGTAGTAAAATTGATCATAGTTATTACATTCAACCAACGTGTATATTTCTAATAATAATGCACATGTGTATTAAATTATATTAAATCATTATTTAATTATTCCATGTTTTAATATATTGCTCTAATGGCACTCACCATATTATTTAATCATGCATAATAATACCGCCATTCAATTTCTAAACTTCCCTCTTGTTATTGCTTTTATTTTATTATGTAAAAAGTATTCATAATATTCCCCCTTCCTCTATTTTCTATCACTATTCTAACTTTGAATCATGTCAACCTTTTATTAAAAGACGTTTTCTTTCTATCCTACCTAACTTGTAATACTGCCACCATTCTAAAAAAGAATGGAAAGAAAAGAAAAGAAGAAAAATCAGAACAACAACAACAACAAAAGACAAATCCTTTCCTTTCTATCCATCGTCTCTTGCCCACTTCAATACTTGGTTGCTGTTCTGACCCCCTCCTCTGTCCAGTAATGAAATCTGAGACAAGCTTAACTAGAATGTACTTTAATAACAAGAAACCAACATCTCGGTGGCTGAAAGTCAAGCAAACAAACAGATAAGGACCTTGGCAGCAACTCAGACAAACCTTGGCAGCAATCCAGCCTGCTAAGTTAGTTACAACAGTTCTCTTTAGTCAATGCGTTGACTTCTGCAAAAGAGGCGTGTGCACAAGCAGTCTTTTTTATAGTCTGGAGAGAAGCCTAATGACCACCAGTTGAGTGCAATTCCCTCCTGTACTTGCGTAACTGCTCCTGATGCCTATTAGCTCTTCAATGGTGTGCATCCAGCAACAACCCCCTCCTGGCTTCTGGATCACTCTTCCTTGTCTCCTCCCCACTGATCCAAGGCTCAGGCGCCACCTGGTGGCCAGCCGGTCTCTCTGCGCCCTGCTTGGAGTCGGAATCCTGTCAAGGGTCCTTCACATGCTCCAGAGCTGACTCATAGGGCCCCTCACTGTCGAAGTCTGGTGGCAGATCCAACGGCTCCTGCTGGGCCACAATAGTTGGGTAATCCACTTTCTTGGGTCCAGTACTCTTTGACATTGTCATCAATGATTGAGATGAGGGAATAGCAACAGCCCTTGGACTTATATACCGCTTCATAGT